ACACCACCGAAGTCTAAGCGAAACAAAGGAAAGTCTGAATTTTGCAAACGGTCGCGTACACTCTACGTAACCTAGGACGGCTGCTGGCTGGGAGGGCGACAGTTGACAGCGAACGCGAACGCGAACGATCTCGGCCTTTCTCATACCTAGCCAGAATATGGCCTCTTACTTCTTTCACGGAAGAAGGAAAGATCTCGTGGAAGGATCGCTCCCGTTGAATCCTCGGTAAGACGGTGTTGCAGTTGCAGCGCGATTGCTGCGCGACCGCGGTACAGAGAAGAAAGGTAAGATTACAGAGGGAGCAGATGGTAAGGGGCGAGCCTACATTACCTTGTCCACCAGTTTCTCCGTTTCGAATCTGGCCAATTGTTCCGCTCGCACCAGCAGCGATTCCGTCTGCAGATCGACGCCCATTTCCTCGGAGATCTCGTCCATCTGCATCGCTTTTCCTAGCCGCTCCAAAAACGTAACGAACTGGAAAAGCCGAGTCTCGAAACGGTTCGCTACATGTACACCGGGAACGCCGTTAAACCGTTCAATTACCGTTTGCTTCTCTCTGCGCAAACATTCCTTGGACAGCTCGCAACCGTTCAACTCGGACTCCAACTTGCGAACCTTGCCCTCCAGACTCGACCGTTCCTCCTCGAGATTTCGCATTTTCGCCACCGTGCTCTCGATCAGCTCGCCCTGTCGAGTCGTCGATTCCGTCGCCGTGCTTACCCTCTCCCGAAGGTTTTCGATGCTCTGAGGAATGCTCTGAGGTTTAGATTAATCTCACCAAACGAAACGAAGCGAAACGAAACGAAACGAAACGAAACGAAACGAAAGAAGAGAAACATATACGAGCGCCTGATCTTTCTTCTCCGCTAGGATCTCCCTGATGCGATCCTTGATCGCGTTCTCCTCAGACTCGACGAATCTGTTCGGTCCGCTGATCAGTATGGCCAACGATTCCAAAAGATGTCGCAGCTCGGTTTGGACGCGCTGTGCCTTCTCTTCCCGGTGCTTCAGATCCTCTGCGAAGAAAAGGTGAAATAGCAATGGTTCGGTCCGTCAGAACGGCTAGGTTCACCTCGCAGCTGTCCGATCGACGCTTCTTGGCTCGATATCTTTCCGCTCGCGCTGCTTACACTCCTGTTCGCATTCGCCAGCTTATCCCTCACCTCCTTCAGCTCCCTCTCCGCGATCCTGTACCGCATCTCGAGGCATTCCTTGTCCTTGGAAAAGAATCGATCCAACAGATAGGAACGTCCCCTCCCTACTTTCCCCGGGAATCTCGAGCATACCTGCCTCAGACGATCCAGGTCGATTAATTGCGAGGACACTTGTCGCTGCAGCTGCTCCTTCTCCGTCCCGCTACGGTCCAAAGCGTCCCGGCAACTTCGAAGATCGACCTCGACAGCGCGAAGCCGACTCGCTTCCTCGGCCAGCTCCTCCACTTTGCGTACCGCGATCTCGGGGTTGGACGACGATACGGTTTCGCGACACTCGATGCTCAACGCGTTCCACAGTTTTCGCGCAAACTCCTTTATCCAACCAACCAACGTCCAAGCTTTAGGTCGCGATCGTCTAATTGCATCGGCTTGGTCAACAATGGCTCATGGTCAAACCTGAAAACCCGAACGAGCCCGTTCCTTCGATTCGACCTCCTCCGACACCCTCTCCTCCAGTTCCTCCACTTTCTTCTCGTACTCGCGAATCTTCTCTTCCCGATACTTGGAGTCCCGTTCCAGTCCCTTCATCGTCGCCTCGTACCTTCCTTGGCACCCGTACAAATGTCGCTCGCGTTCCTCCAATTCCTACAAACGCCACCCCGCCGATTGTCGACGGTCCGAACACGGTACAAACTAGCCATGTGTTCACCTGTATGCGTTTCCGTAAACTCGAAACGACGGCATTCTGTCTGGCGGCTTGTTCGCGGAGCTGGTCAACCTCTACCTCTAATTCCACCACCCGTTCGTCCCGCGATCTCACCGTACCCCTCAACTCCTGGACCTAGACGATCGAGAACACCCTCGATTAATCCAGCCGTCGGACGTGGATCGATCGATCGGTCAAACAACAATCTCCTCGATTCACCTCCGACGTAAGCCTGTCGCGTTTGTACTCGAGGGCTGCCACCTCGCTCCTCAGCGTGGTCGTTAGATCGCGGTTCATCGCTTCTTCCTCGACCATCTACGCGTACCAACGAATGTGTCGTGGTTATTCCTTTCAGCGTCTAAACATTCCGAAACGCTTCCTCCTCTTTTTCTTTTCCTTTACGACACGCTTACGCACGTTCAGTCGCGATTAAAACATCCCCAAGTTTCATTGAAACCTGGCGATAATCTCTTCGAGATAAGAACGAGTAGCGACTCGCCGACGTCGGATCTATTTTCAAAAATCTAACGAGCTGAAAAACTTATCGTCTACTTCTAAGCAGTGGGTACTTACTCTATTAGTTGTATCTTATCTACAACGTTTCGACAAAGTTGCAATTGAAGCGCACAAACGTGGTAGAGAAAACGAAAGGCGTTGCTTTTGCATTTGGCGAAGAAAGGGTGATTGTAAATCACAGGAGGGAGCCACTGACTGATAAAAGGACGAGACGAGGCGCGGCTCGGCGGCAGGTAGAATCGATTCCGCACGGTTGGCTATGGCAACCGAGCCCCTTGTTTCGCCTTGGCCAAGTCAATACGTTTACAACGCACGATAAATAGCATTCCACGTTGAACGATACGCGAGGGAAAGAAGGGGGAAAAACGTAAATCCGGATACGAAGAATCGAACAGAATCCCGTTGTAAACCTGACGTTGTAAATTTCCGTCTTAGTGTTATAAAGATATTACAAAGATGATTCGTCCAACTTGCTTTTTCTCTCTCGGTTTTAATCCAACTTCCGATTGGTTATCTGGGCCGATTGTAAGACGTAAAAGCTGCAAAAGTCAGTTTAATCATGAATCACACGCTCGGATACACTCGATCGGCGAGCAATCATCCTTACGATAAACGAACGTAATTGTCATTTTTTTCCCTCTCCCTTTCTGTCAGTTCCCTTTAATACAGATAACAGGTAAACGCTGAACAAAAAGCGTGCGATAATGCGTGCGATAATGCGTGTGCGATGTGAGAATGAAGTGCACGTGATTACTTGGCGCAGCAATTTCCCAATGTACAGAGGGTTGCAGCTAAGCTCTGACCACGCAGACGAGAAACACCTTTCGAGGCGACGATATACACAGAGTTCCCAACAGCTCGAGCTCCTCTTCGACCGTCCCTTTTCCTTTCCTCGCAGACTTGGCCCCGCCCTCGCCCACTTCCTTCCTTTCCGCCTCGCTCGACGACATCTTCTTCGCTCTCACGCTCAACACTATACCAGTAGACCAATCTCTATCTATCTATCCTATCCTACTTGGTTCGTTCACATCTCTTACTGCCAGTCGATCCACCCTTCGTCGCTCGAAAAACCGTTTCCAATCAAGGCCGAAGCGTCGATGCGCAACGAACCGCCACCGGTTTAACAACTTCTACCGCGCGCACCGGACGATCGAAATTCATCGATCCATGGAAACGACTCGAGGTCCTTTCGTCCTTCCACCGACACATTTCCATTTACGTTTTACCCAAAAATTATCGCAAACTTCGAGCTTCTCTCACGTCGTCGCCTGAACAAATACTCTTACACTGCCGCCGTTTCAGGGGAAGTTGCTGTCTGGGTATGTAAATGGTGTTCAGACGTGCGATTTTCGATCAGCTGTCGATAATGTAACACGGTGATAAGAGAACACGGAACCACAGACACAGACGTGGTGCAGGATAGATATTGCGCCTGACGTACTTTTCTCCTCGACCTTCTGAAATACCGATCGGGCAATAAAGCGGTCAGTTTAGGAATTACGTCCAATACAACCGTCGAAGATGGTAAAATCGACAGATGTAAAAAATTTCCCTTCGTTAAATTTCCATATTAAAGATACGCACGTAGACAAGTACGTCATATTGGTGGATTGCTTGGGTAAAACTGTTCATCGTCTTTTCGCAACAGTAGAACACGCGCATCTCATCAATCATCTACTAATGTTGTAATCTTATTCTGTGCTGAATCGGTAACGTTGGGTGCGACAGGAAAATGGTAAGGGTCCTCTCGGCCCCCATGTCGCGGACACAAAGTCCCATGAGATGTTACGTCCAACCTGTATTAGTCAAAAACTTGGAAAATTACGATTAATTTCTTGTTTTCGCGTTGAATTAACAATTAAATGCAATAGGCACTTTAAAACTAATATACACAGGGTGTCTGTTTTATTCTCGATACAGTGAGATATATCTTTCAAGGAAGTGATGTTAGGAAAAAAATGTTTCAACAAAAGTTGTTTGGTTGGGGGGGGATATTTCTTTATGTACCGTACCGGGTATGGTGGCAGAGATTTCAGAGTGACTGTAATTTTTTTAAATGGAATGCTATATTTCTTTTTATACACGATATGACAGCGTATGTTAAGACGAGTCCAACGAGGTGCGGTCGTAAAATTGCGAAAGACCGGGAGACAAACGCTGTCGCGTGTGTCTGTTTTATCAAATGACTTTGTTCTTACCTTGTTAGACTCGCCTTAACAAACGCTATCATATTGTGTATCAAACAAATATACGTAGCTCTCCGTTTGAAAAAATTAAACTCACTTTGAAATCTCCCCAACCATACCCGGTGCAAAAAAAATATTTACACCACATAACGTCCCCCTCCATACCAAGCAACTTTTGTTGAAACACTTCTTTCCTAACATCACTTCCTTAAAAGATATTCACTGTACTGATATAAAACAGACACCCTGTATATTAGTTTTAAAGTGTTTACTGCATTTAATTGATAATTCAACGGGAAATGAACAAATTAATCTTATTTAAGACCTCCCCGTGTAATTACGAACTACCGTTTAAATTTTTATGTAATGAAGTGCTTGAAAATAGGACAGAAGCTATATTTTACTATCTACATGCATATTAGCAATGTTGAAGCAATTCGAAATTGATTATAAATGTTTAGTATCGATTAAACATAACGGGGATAACGAGGACACCAGTAGAGAAATGAGTTAAACAAGGAAAAGAACAAGAGAAGACGAGGATAGCACTAGAGATATAAGTTAGACAAGGAACGGAACAGGTGTAGACAAGGATAGCAATAGTGAGCAGTATTAGACAAGGAAAGCAATAGGGATAGACAAGGACAGAACGAGAGACCGCCGCCATCTTGGATTTGGTGACGGGAACTACGACTTTTTAATAGGAACACAGAGTATCGACAGAGGTATTAGACAAGGAACGCGCTAGTGTGCGAGAAGGATAGAGAGAAAACGTTTCCTATTGGCTGGGGGCCGCCATAGCTCCAACTTCTGAAGGCGACATCATGTCGGCGAGGGGAAAATAATTAATAACTCGATAATTACGACGATATTGCGAACTTTTAGAATTGAAGAATGAAGTGTGGACCTTCGGTAACTTTCACATATAGTTTTTGATGCACCAAACCCTTTCGATAATTAATTATTAATAATTTCAGTACGTGATATCGGGAACAATACCGCGTTCCAGTACGGTTTCTCAATAATTTCATAGCTTTCTGCTAAATTCTCATGCACCTAACTATATGCGTCTGAAAGGCAACTCCTTTAGCTACATTCTTCTGTAATTGTCATTAACATGTCCCTTGTGGTTTAGTAGCTACTTAATATTCTTTCGGTGAGTGTTACAGCCGTCGCATTCCATCGTAACACATATTCGTTATTTCAATAGATATGCGTGATTAATTATGAACTTTGAAGGATGCAGAATGTAGAATGGACTCTTATCTACATTCTCCAATAACGATTGTAGACGTAAGTGATGTGATGTTTTAGATATTAGCAATTCTTTATAACATTTGAATATGTTCGAGTGCGATGAATAGGGGAGTCTTAATAACTCTTAAACTGAACCAAACATGTTAATAAAAATTATATGAGAATATAGCCAAAGGAGTTACCTTTCCGACGCATACAGTTAGTTGCATCAGAATTTAGCAGAAAGCCATGAAATTATCGACAAACCGTAAAGGTAGGCGGTATCGTTCCGACATCATGTACTGAAATTCTTAATACCCAATTATTCAAAGGGTCTAGTGCATTAACATTTATATAAGTATCTAGCTAAAGGAATAACCTTTAGAACGCATGTATCAACGTGAATAAATTGTTTGCGCAAAGCTACAAAATTAATGAAAAACCAGAAGGGTATGTGGTATTTGCTGCCGACGCTCCGCACAAGAATTGTTAATAACTATTTATTGAAGCGGTCTAGTGCATTGCAATCTGTACGTGAAAGTGACTAAAGGTTCATACTTCTTTCCTCAATCCAAAAAGTTCGCCAATTCGTCCAAATTAATGAATTATTAGTGATCTTTCCCTGACCGACTTGCTTGAGCCCGTGGAAAGTTGAACTTTGGTGCCTGCCAATCAATAGAAAACGTTTTCAAACGTTATTTCTTCCCTATTATATTTAATTGATATTCATAATCAATTCTTAATTGCTTCAACATTACTAGTAAAGTTCTTACTGTTACTTAAATGCTAGCTGCCACACGGAAACATAAAACAAACGTGAAAAAATAAAAATGTACTAAAATATACATATGTAACATTTAATAGTACGATTTTATTCCTCTTAAATAATACCAGCCGTCTCCAGGAGAGATAGAAAAGGATAGAGAATTGAGAAATATGACACCAATTGGTACGTGAAATTCCACTCTGAGAAAATCCTGACTTAATAGGAATACAGAATATGGGCGGAGGAATTAGACGAAGAGAGACAATCGAGTATCCATGAACTAAACAAGGATAGAAAATGCCGGCCGAAGACACTAATGCCGTTTCTTAATAGGAACACAGAATATAAACAGAGGTGTTAGACAAGGTACGCACTAGTGTGCGAGAAGGATAGAGAGAAATGTTTCCTATTGGCTGGTGGCCGCCATAGCTCCACCTTCTGAAAGCGTCACCATGTCGGCCAGGGAAGAATCATTAATAACCCAATAATTACGATGATTTTGTGAACTTTTAGAATTGAAGAATAAAGTGTGGACATTTGCTAACTTTCTGGTATAAAATTTAAAACACTAGACCCTCTCGGTAATTAGTTATTAACAATATTAGTGCGGGTTGTCGGCAAATTTATACGGGATATCCCACATCGTTCTCGTTTTTCATTAATTTCGTAGCTTTGCGATACAGTTTCATGTACGCGTTCGAAAGGCTATTCTCTTAGCTAGTTTCTCGATAAATTTTTTCTAACATACCTATCATAGTTTTCGAGATATTAATCATTATTTGAGTAACTACTACGCACGTCGCATTCAAGCGTAACGCCTTTCCGTCATTTTCATTAATAACTCAATAATTACGATAATTTTGTGAACTTTTAGAATTAGAGAATGAAGTGTGGACCTTTAGCAACTTTCTCATATAGATTTCAATGCACTAGACCCTTTCGATAATTAGTTATTAATAATTATAGTAGACGATGTCGGGAACGATACCGTATACTTTAACGATTTCTCGATAATTTCATTAAATGCAACTAGAATTTCGCTAAATTCTAATGCAACTAACTGTATGCTTCGGAAAGGTAACTCCTTTGGCTATATTCTCATATAATTTTTATTAACATGTTTGGTTCAGTTTAAGAGTTATTAAGACTCCCCTATTCATCGCACTCGAACATATTCAAATGTTATAAAGAATTGTTAATATCTAAAACACCACATCACTTACGTCTACAATCACTATTGGAGAATGTAGATAATTAATTCAAAGTTCATAATTAATCACGCATATCTATTGAAATAACGAATATGTGTTACGATGGAATGCGACGGCTGTAACACTCACCGAAAGAATGTTAAGTAGCTACTCAACCACAAGGGACATGTTAACACTTGTGTGCATAACCGGGTACCCAGGTACCCATTTCTGTATTTCCTGTACTATTTTTTTATGGTCTTGACAAAATATCACAAAGTCGCTCTGGATCCCCATTCTTTGAACTCTTCTGCGTCGATTCATGTTTTGTGAAAAACATAATATACAATATATTTGAAATAATTAAGCTTCAAACCTGTACATACGCTTGTTACACAACCAGGGTACCCGGATAGCCAAATAAATTATACACAATATAAAATTCTTGATTGTATTTATTTTTTAACATAAACAGTTGAGAGCGTAATTATTAAATATTAACTGGTGTAATAGTGTTTGCATGCTCATCGCAAACTGGTTGTGTACACTTCTGACAGGTTTTTCTTGTTTTTCTGCGTTTTCTTATATGATCTGCGTGACATATGTAACACTTGCATCTAACGAAGACGACGACGGTTGGGCAGAACTGGAAGGAATGTTTATTCTGTGTGATGGACTTAGTACACTATCTACTGCTAATTTTGTTGCAAAATGTCGCATTATCTGAATATTTGAGGCTCGATTTTGAATGTTTGGAATACAGAGATCTTCTCCTAATTGTCGTAAAAATATACGCCGGTCATTTGTTTTTTTACATAACATATTATTGTTTGACTTATAAATAATGTAGGAGGCAAGACTAGCGATATCAATTATATTATAAAATAATGCTAATGGCCACCTGACAGTTCGCCTTTTTGTAGTGTATCTCCCTAACAACTGATCCATGGTATCCACCCCAGATTTTGTTCGATTATAAAATTCAACGATTTCCGGCTTTCTTTTTGGCCCAGAAACAACATTGCCAGTATGCATTGTTGACAATAATATGACGGCTTTTTCTTTTTTCGGCACATAGGAACAAAGTGTTATATTTTCATGATATGCAAATAAAGAAGTGTACTCTTCGCGTGATTTGGATGGTGCCATTTCTCTAGGAATATACTAGTTGTTTTTCCTTATCGTCCCTACAATTGTCAATTTCCAAGATAACAGAAATTTTGCTAAGGGAACAGTCTGCCCGACCCTTTACACGCACCAGCCAAATCTTTTGCCCAGATAATGGGTAATAATTTTCAGAATCGGATAGCCACCAGATCTTGATACCATACTTAGCAGGCTTGGATGGGATATATTGCGTCAACTTAGTCCTACCTTTATATGGGAATAATTGTTCATCAATAGTTAAATTCGCTTTTGTCAAATTTGCATTCAACATTATCCATATATCTGTTATAGGAGCTAGCTCGTGTATTTGCATCGCCGAATCGAATAAATCATCATAGCTGCCCGGTATAAAGGGTAGGAAGTCGTCTTCCACATATCGTATACGTGATCTACATTGGAGTTATTTACACCGGCTGTAATTAAAATACCTATGAAGGCGGACAATTCTTCTGTCGTAAGAGCAAGATACACAGCAGTCGCCTTTCGATTCGTGTGTCTTACAATAATGTCCATCATTTCATTTGAAAAAATAAAATTAAAAGTATCCCGAATCGATAACATGCGTGTAGATCGTTGTGGACCACTTCTTTCTCGAATGATATTGTAAGATGGTGTTTGATGGTGAGATGGTGGTTCCTTGTTCCAGATGGTCCCATCCTTAGCAACAAAAACAGTTTGAGTATTTATACGATCTTCGTCGTCTTCCGGTGACTCTTCGGTCCTTACTGTATCTTCTATCTGTTCTTCGTCAATATTCTGCTCGGTGTCAGAAACTTCATCATTCAATGATCCTGTTTGTGGCCCCGGCAACCAATCTTCATCCTCACCATCCAATGATATATTATCAGAAGAATATTCTTCTCCCAATAATGTCGCTAAATAAATATCCTGTTCTGCCCGAGATAATCTAAAAACAATTTTACACACATGTTCGATGTGCTACTTTGGTATACTAAATTGATAATTATTTTGATGTATTATATGTAGATTTGATTTACCTTGAAAATTCTTCTGCTGACAGTTCTTCCATTTTTACGTAGGACTATAGAAATCACTTACAGAAGTGGAAAACTATATTTCATGCAGACACTTTACTATGAAGAACAAAACTGTACAGGAAACGTTTCCACGATACAGATCCTACCCGTACAAAAAACTGATTCAAACTAATTCAGTTCTTCATTTCGTCATCTAGTTCGTTTCGTGGGCTCCTATACTTGTTTATATACATATACAAGATAAGAGGCTCTGCATCACTCTGCCATCGTCCCAAAGACATGGAGAGCGAGGGTGAATGCATAGATGCGGATCGTAACAACTATTGACCTTATAATGAAACTAAAAGAAGTAAAATTATCTCTACGTATCCTATGTATCGGAATAAGACACGTGGGGTACCCGGGTACCCGGGTACCCGGTTGCCCAGCAACGGTGAACATTTCGGTTGCCTACACAAGGGTTAATGACAATTATAGAAGAATGTAGCTAAGGGAGTTGCCTTTCAGACGCATATAGTTAGGTGTATGAGAATTTAGCAGAAAGCTATGAAATTATTGAGAAACCGTAAAGGAACGCGGTATTGTTCTCGACATCACGTACTGAAATTGTTAATAATTAATTATCGAAAGGGTTTGGTGCATTAAAAATTATATGTGAAAGTTACCGAAGGTCCGCACTTCATTCTGCAATGCTAAAAGTTCGCAATATCATGGTAATTATCGAGTTATTAATTATTTTCCCCTCGCCGACATGATGTCGCCTTCAGAAGTTGGAGCTATGGCGGCCTCCAGCCAATAAGAAACGTATCTCTCTATCCTTCTCGCACACTATTGCGTTCCTTGTCTAATACCTCTGTTTATATTCTGTGTTCCTATTAAAAAGTCGTTGTTCGCGTCACCGGACACGAGATGGCGTTATCTCTCCATTTTATTTTCCGTCCTTGTCTAACACATTTCTTGAATGCTGTCCTTGTCTAAGCCTTTTTCTTTCATTTTCTTACTATACACGTATACACCAGTTAGCTTCAAAATGGCAGCATTGTGTGCGATGACCATGTTGGTTAATTACGTCGTTTAAAGTATATGTTATTTTCATTCTCCAAAAACTACACGAAATGTTGTATCGATTTTATCGTTTGGGCCGTGAAAATGCGGGGGCATCGTTTATAAATATTTCAAGGCATTATGTAACTACCCGTTTAACCTTTCTTCTTTTCACCCGGTGTACACATTAAGCTAACCATGTGAATTCCCATTTAGGCAAAAGCAGTTGCAAATGCACAACGAAAAGAAAATGATGTAATTAACGATAAAGTAGAAAATAAGGAAAACAGGACGCCGATAGTATTATGCAAAAAGAGAAGGTACAATTTTTATAAAGGTGATACCTTTAACAAGAAGCAGCCGGTGTTAGCTAGCCATGGATGGAAATCCCGAGATTCTAGAGACGATCATTTTATCATATATCCTTATGGCAATGTACCTCTCAATTACAGTGATGTTTGTTGATTTTCATGTATCAATTGTAACAGATTCCACAATTGTAATTTCTCTTTCAGAAAGATGGAAAAAAAGAAAATGAGGGAAATGACGTTGGAACGTTTGAGGATTTGAATTTGTCCTCTTCTGTGTGTAACAACGTGGAAAGTTTAGGCATGCAGAAACCCTTGGAAATCCAGAAGTTGGGAATACCGGCAATTCTTCAAGGTTGTAATGTGCTATTAGCTGCAGAAACAGGATGTGGGAAGACTTTAGCTTACCTTCTACCTCTGGTGACTAAAATTTTGGAATGGAAGCAGGTCGTGCAAAGGAATGTCAACTCTCCGTTGGCTTTAATTGTGACTCCGTCCAGAGAACTAACAGTACAAATTGCGGTTTGTAATATCACCATTTCAATTTCTTATATTCATTGATACAACATACATATATATATAACATGTTACATTTCTGTTCAGCTGGAACTGATCAAACTATCTAAACCTCTTGACATTAAAACAAAAATAATCACCGGTGGGAGAACAAAAAGAGCATTATCGAATCCTCCTGTTAACCATATTGACGTTCTTGTTGGCAGTTTTGGAGTTGTTAGTAAACTGATTACATGTGGTGTTTACAATACTGAATTTGTAAGATTCATTGTCCTAGATGAAGCAGATACTCTTTTTCATTATACATTTGAGGACAAATTACGAGTTCTCATGAATAAGCTACCTGTATGTAGAAGGAAAACATATTCCATATAATACAAGTATCCATTAAGAAAATAATCATACTAATTGTTTGAATTTATTCAGGTTGGATACTTTCAAGAAATATCTGAAAATGGATTTGCTAAAACGGCTCAACTTATTTTAGTTTCTGCAACAATTCCTTTGCGTTTGGAAGACGTTTTAAGTGGAATTGTAAATGTAAGTAGCATCCTGTGAATAATTCACAGAGAAGACTTCTGTTTTATATGGGGGAAATATTTGTTTGCAGCCACAGTCCTTGAAACATGTAACAACAGATAAATTACATAAAATATTGGTTCCACAAAAATTTATGAGAATGATACCGAGTAAAAAACCTATGGAGCTTTTGAAGTATATAAGACCGAAAGTATTAAATAAAGAACGTGTAATTGTATTCACGAATCATAATAGTACCTCCTATTGGCTTTACTTGTTTTTACAAGAGTGCGGTATTAAAACTACCAATTTAAACGGTGACATGCCACTCTATGTACGACAAGGAAAATACGGGGAATTTTTAAATGGCAAAACAATGGTGTTATCAACGACAAATGGAGGATCTAGAGGTTTAGACACGTTGATGGTTCAACATGTTTTAAATTATGACTTTCCACTAGACACGGCCGCTTACATTCATAGGTACTTTATTCAAATAATTTGCAAAGAAAATGTTTTATAATTCAAATGGAAAATCGAAACGTTACGTATTATATATTATTTAGATGTGGCAGAACTGGCAGAGTGGGTAGCATAGGTGATTCCAGAGTAACAAATTTTATTTCCAAAAAAGGGGAAGTTTTTATGGTTCAAAAGATTGAAATGGCAGCTAGAAGAATGAAACCAATACCTGTTTTTAATCTGTTGGATTCAAGTAGAGAAGCGAGAGAAAAAGAAGAAGAAGAAAAGGAAGAAGAGGACGATGAATGTATTAACGAATTAATCGAAAATCTAGACAATCCAGAGGATATACCATATTGAAGCTGAAATGTTTTGTTACCATGTAAATAAAAATACTTCTACTTGTTATAAATGTCTCTTGTTTATTCAGTATTTACTTTCGTTTGCTTCGTATCCACTCTATTCGCGTAATTCATGTGCACCGGTACGAGAAGTCTTCTGTGAAGCCCTTGCAGTGAATCACGATAGGATGAAAGAATCGACCGAACGTCGTTGCCCTTAAATCTATATCAGTCTGCTCAAAGTATAAACTGTGCCTATTTCATCAACTTTTTCATTCGACGTACAAATGAAAACCACTAACAAATAATCCTTTATTTTACAACGATGTTTCGAAATATTCGATAGAACGAAATGAACGAACGTCCGCCACCTATATCTGTTTTATCTGTTTTATCTGTTTTATCTGTTAAGCTTGAAAATTTGAAAGTTTCAACTGTAGGAAGGAAGCGTTCGACCCACACGTGAGTTTCCATTCATCGGCTGATCCAATGTCCGGCGGCACACCCACACCAACCTCCTACGTATCTCAAACAGAACTACATATATACTATAATCGAGACCGTACGTCTAGACCAGTTTATTACGCGCATTGTGTTTTAGTGGAATTAACTGTGTTTACGCACGTTGACATTCGTCACTCTCTGTAAAGGGTGTGTCTTAGAATCGCACTGTCGTAACGACATACGTTGAACGATAACATTATTTCACGCCGGTAAAATGATCATTTATTTGGTATACCGTAAACTTTTATTCCATTTGCACGTGTAACGATATTAACATCCAAGTAATACGATCGTAGGTGTATACGAACATGTTTAAACGATTTCCCTAGGAAGCAGCAAAGAGATTGTTGTTGTTGTCGAAAAAGTGTTCCAAGTAGTATATACCTAGAGTATGAAAACGGAAACGGAAACGTGTGATGAATAGTTAGGAGCAAAGACAATGAAAATAGACTAATTAGCGTGGGTAGTTGCGTGTCATGTAGGGTACGTAGGGGAATTTCAGACGTAGACACGCTAGTTATACACATAGGAACCCTTGTTACAGCGATAGAACAACAGAGTCGATAATTTTTCATTTCTGTCGTATCTATTCTTGCGTGTAATGTCTAAACGACGTATATTATTTCACATACCGAAAATATGAGAAAAAGAAGATGCCTTTCGAGTACTCGTTTTATTACGTATCACTTTGGAAAGAAAACGCAGGCTGTTAATTATTAAAGAGTAATTAGGAGAAAATACGATTAAACGTGGATATATCGGCTTTCGATAACATTCGTTTTCGACAAAGGGGTCCACGTAATGCTCCAATTCAATCTGAATTCCAGCGAAAGAAACAAACGCGCCTGACCTCTATACGAAAGAGTTACTCCGCGGAATTACGGTCGCAGGTAAACATAGAGTAGAACAAGCGGTATGAAATTTTTCGTGACGTAGAATGGAGAATCGTTGAATAAGCGCTGAACGATTTGTTCGACCCCTGAAACATTTCTGCTGCGATGCATGTGAAAGAAAAGAAGATTCAGAAAATTGTATCCCGGTAGAAACGTAAATATGTAAATAAAAAAAATTGTCGATTTGTTCTCGACTGCCGGCAATATGCCGGCAATACCCCCTAACGAGCGCTACGGTTCCGAAGAGGCGAGTGTTGAAATTGAACGGAGTGGGGATCTGAGTAACCGTGCTAATAGAAGTGAACTCAGTCGTTTTGCGGCGCGCAACCTGTTAGCGTCGTGCCATCGAATTTTACCTTAGATTTTTCCCTTTAAACACTTTTGCACAGTTTCTCCGTTGAGCCAAGTGATCAGCAGTGATTTAAGAATAAGTGTCGTTAAAGCTGCGAGCCCGCCTTCTTCGGAAATAATTTGAAAGTTGTGGTACGATATCGTCGGAAGAAAGGTTACCGATCGACACGTCAGTTCCGGGTTGACGAACCCTCTGAAAGAGGCGGACACGTCGATTCTGTAAAAATGCAGCGCGCCGTCCGAGCGTACGGTTAACACGCAATACACCTGGGTGGATCGCGCGAACAATACTCGTCGAGCTAACGAACTAACCAACAACGTCGAGAAAATCGTCGCGGTCGTCGTCGCGTTGCACTTGGTGTAATATAGAAAGGAAACGAACGGAGAAAAAAAGTATGCCGGTGTAATTGAAACGGCGCACTGTTCGAGCGCCGCCACGGAGTCGAGTTTCAATCTCGAATCGAAGGATTTTGAAGCTCGGAGTCAGGCAAGTTGTAGCGCGAGTGAGATAGTGTTCTGCGAAGCGATATACGAGCAAGCAAATACGAATGCATACGTTCGCGGTGAATCGTGCATTCGGACAAACTGTCTCGAACGAGGACGTGCCCGATCGATCGTCGATCGCATTCGACGTACAAGTGAGTGATATGTGCGTAGATAATCGACCTTAGAATTAGAAAGAGCCGCGCGGAGGAGGAGATTTGCTTTTGTTTGGTGCGCTGCTGGAAAGAGGGAAAAGCCGCTATATTGGAGAAGAAGCGAGAAAGCGGCGTGGCGCTCTTCTGTGTACCGCGGCAGAGGCGATCGTCGCAGCCTGAAAATGTAAGTTGTCTGCATGTGACGTGATTCGATCGGATACATATCGGACTGAACGTGTAACCGATAAGACACCCTTATTCTCGGAACGAATCTTTCTACAACTCGCCAATAAATACAAACCACATCGAAACAGCGACATAATCGATGCTCGTTCGAGATAAACGTTCGCTCGAGATCTAAACATGGTTGCCGAGCGTAGGTTACTCGAAAAGGATATATTTTCCAAGAGATGGACTTTTCTGCGAAACAAGTCCCTCCAGCGCAAAGCCTAATTGGTATTTCGCAAGAAAGTTGGGTTAATGTCGAGGAATACCGATAGGTGAAGGTCACACCACTGTCGATTCGACGCCAATATGTACCAACGACAACTCTCTCTCTCTCTCTCTCCCTCGCGATCTGTCTTCGCCATTTCCACGCCAACCTATACGTAATGCGGTTTTTCTTCTTCTACTGGCCTGCTGCCTGCTGACAGAGATATAATCACCCGTCCCGTAATCCATATCGAAGCCGTTATTTAGAATTGTTACCGACGATTCATCGTGTCGTCCGAAGAGAAAAAGAAAATTGAACACCATCCGGTTGAAGTGGTCTCTTCGAAGGTATACTTTTTGTCACGTTTGGGAGAAATAGTAAATGGCGGAGGAAAGGGGAGGAGAAATTGACGTATTCCGATGCAGCCGTTGCAGGGAGAGAGAATCGTTTGTGCGTCGCGTACAATGTTATTGTATTCCCAGCACGTACAGGCAATGGGAGTTGGTTATTACGCCTACTTCCGGTGGTCGGTTTGTGGCTCGGAGTTGTTCGAGCTTCAACTGAAATATTTCACCGGAGCGTTTACCCACGGGAGCGAATATTTCGGTGGTGTGAAACGCGTCGATTAGGAAAAGGCGCATCTCGATATTGAGAAAGCGTGTAGTATACAGCTGTAGTATGCAGCCGCATACCTAAGCGATATACCCAGCCGCCGCGGGCCTGCCTCAGGTCTACAGAAACATCCTTCGACTCGACCAACCTGCGTTCGTCTCCTCATTATTATGCTCTCGAGCGAATCGGCGTTTGGAAGTGTTGTAACTTTGGAAACACGTTGCATCTCTGGTAAATCCAGTTAAAGATAAGTACCTAAACGGGGGAAAGAGAAGACGTCGAGGCGAAAGCAGGCCGGTAGGCAAGGTGCACGTTCGCAAATCGAGTTGGTTTGTCACGGTGAACGTCGCGTTACAGTTAGCAGATCAGCCTCTCGCCTATACCGTTTCCTGCGGCAATAACCTTCCCCCTGGAATCGACAATTCGAGTCGATGACGGCGTGCAGGCGGGTTGGCAGGATACAGGTTCTTTAAAAGCAACCAAAGCCAATTAATTAAAGCCGGATGCGTTGATTGACCTCTGAATAAGTTTGTCAGGGTACGGAGCACCGCGGGGGCTTGGCCCTTACCATCGCGAGAATCGGGGAATATGTATACTGTTATATACTGTTATAACGCACCATGTGGTTAACTGTAAAACGACATAGCCAAGAGTAGAGTTGTCACTGGTACGTCGTATCGGGAAAGCACCGTCACCTGGCACGCGAGACCCCTTGCTGGGAACATTGCCGAGATGTGGCGCACGCGCTCTTCCCTCTGTTACGAATAGCGGCGCAGCCAATTTTACGGACGAGCATGCTTTTATAGAATAGCTATTCCGGACAGGTGGTTGGCAAATAACAGGTAGATCGAAAGTGCTCGTAAACGCTTTTCGTCGTTTCGCGATCGCTTCGTTAAGCTGCGCGCATTTCTCGCGTGCTGACTCGTTACGAAAGTAACAGTCGAACTAGCTATTAGGTTAGTCAACAACAACAACAATAATAATAAGAGGAATCTCGTTCCTCTCGGTTCTTTCGGTTAGCCAGTCACTCTCCGGAGTAACGGCATCTCGGGTCCTCCTTGCCTTTCCTCGTTCTTCGGGCTACTCTCGGCGTGTTCACCTTCACCGGCGACACCTCCGTCCTTATTCTGTTTCCCTAGCAGTACGCTTCAGGAGCGTAACGTGTCTTCTCAACGCCGAATATATTCATCCCTCCATACGAAATTCCTCTTCTCGCCTCAGATTCGCTGGAAACGCCTGTTACGCGATTTTCATCGGACGAAGAAATCGTAGAAACGAGGCGGCCCGCGCGAGTCGGCTTCACCGCTACGTCCCGTATTCAATTTTCTGGGTCACGGTGCGCGATCCTTCTCTCTCGGCCTTTCTATTTCGGTGCACTCGGCTTCTCTCGTTCACGCTTGCCATCTCGCCTTCCCCGTGTTCTACCAACCAGGTCAATCTTCGATCCTCGTCCCTCGTCCCTTAAGCCGTCATAAATGTTATCACCGTCATATCACCAAGTTGTTCGCTTTCACTCGCATCCGTATCCCACTTTCACCGATTCCCCACGGTAGGGAAATGGTCAATCTGTAGGAACGGACGTATTTCG